CCCCCCCCCCCCACACACTTTCATCAATGCCTGCTCTCCTCTCTGGATGTTCTTTTACATACATCCATTCCCGCTCTCACTGGACATTTTCCCTTCATTCCATATATACCCGCTCTCCTGCCCTCTATAATAATCTTTCACTTTCATACATTCCCATTCTCCTTTCTAGCCATTCACCACTAAGCCCCTCCATACCCAGCCTCCTTCACTCTCTGACCACTGGAGATATAATTATAAACAGAGGAGAGGAAGCAGGAAATATTATTCAGTATCAAACCATATCCTTCCTTTAACAAAGTTAACAATTATGGCTAGTGTTCGAGTAAAAGGAAAATACAAACCCACCCAAAAAAACCATAACATTTTGTGTAAACTAGTGACAGTGGTACATGACATTTCTGGATAATCTGGGATAGGCATGGTACATTCCAGTATGGTCAAGGTTTTCCTGACTACTGCTAACTGCAGACCCATCAGTAAACGTAGGGCAAGCCAGTTAGCTATGTGCATCAATGTAGTAGCCAGTCTGAAGGTTATAATCTGGGTGAGTGGAGGGAAATAAGCTCCCTACAGAATCAATAGAAGCACTTCAATCACCATTTACATGTACAGAAGGCAGCAAGGAAAGTGTTTCAGCATCACCAGCAGGTGTGTTCCAGGATCACCAGACAACATGCAAAAGAAGTGGGGCAGACTGGTGCACTACAGCAATGGCTTGATGACAAACAGAACTACTCAGCTTGAAGTTTATGCGCCCTGTGTTCATGTCAATGCTTCACTTTCAATTTTTAACTGGCATGTACTTTTACACTGCAACCGCGCGGCTCAGCGTGATCCGAACTGCCCCCCGCCCTAACTGCTCCCTAACCCTTTTTTGCCGTGTTGATCAGTGCGGTTTCCATACAGCTTTCAATGGATCAGCGTGGTTTTGGGCATTTTTTATTGCGTTTCAGCAATGAAACGCAATTAAAAACTCCCAAAACCTCCCTTTTGAAATCTGCGTGGAAACCACGCTGATCCGCAGCCGCCCTGGTGTGAATGGGCTCTGAAATGGCTATATTCACTTTTCACTCCGCAAACAAAGGTGGAATTAATTATTAATAAAAAAGGTTCATTACTCACAACATATATTGTAGCATAATGTTCATCTTTTCTACTGCTTGAAGTGATTTTTGCTTGTATACTCTGACAAGGTTTATGGCCATTATACTATATTGACTGCGCTACAATACAACGTGCAAAGTGTAGCAACCCCAAGGCAAATTGGATTTCAGTTTACTGTAAGCGAAGTGTAAGAGATGTTTTCTGTTAACTTGTCACTGCTTTGCATTATATACAACAAAATAACGTCTCATGAAGAGAAAAATTCAGTTGCCGACTGGATAAGACATTGACAGATGTGATATGACAGAGGCCATCACTTTCATTATAAAATTACATCTTCGACTCACCTGACAGACAGTCAGCAGCAACAGTAGCAGGAACAGGTCTCGGGCACGGCACGGATGATGGTTTATCATTGTTAATCTTTCTGTACCCAGACGGCTTGCCTGATAGAATAGCATCCAGTTCTTTGAAATATTTCATGGTCTTCCATCGGTTTCCAGAATCATGAGCCTTCTTCACCACAGCATACTCATGCTTTAGATTTTTATACTTAGTCCGGCACTGCCTCCAGTCTCTGTCTATCCCTGATTGCTGGAGAAGACCTGCAATGTGCTCAAATATCTTCTGGTTCCTGACGGTTCCTTTCAGCTGTCCCTTTATACTCTTGTCAGACCAGATGTTTATGAGTGCCAGTGTCTCCCTAGCCGACCAATGCTTTCCTCCCTCATTATGAACAGCCGGTACAAGTAGAAGATCACTGGTACCTCCTCCAGGACTCTGCAGATCTGGCAGGGGGAGCAAAAAATCAACATTTGGCTTAAAAAAAGGGTCTAGAAAAATATACCATGACATTTTGTGCTGTACTGTATTTGTAATGAAAACCCAGGAAAAGACTCCGGATACTAATTCACACCTTTATATTTAAAACGTAATCCTCCTGTCCCATCGCACTCCTGACCGGACAAAAACCCAAATCCAACTGGGTGGGTGCGGTGGTGACAACGGATGCCTCCGTGAAATGTAGATAGATTAAAGTAGTCACTCGCACTCCATGATATTAAAGTCAATGCTGTTTATTGACTGAGATAACACACATCTCCTTAGCGACGTTTGAGACCATGCGGTCCCGTCCTCAGGCAAACTCTGTTTGCCTCAGGACGGGCAAACGTTTCGAGACCATGCAGTCCCGTCCTCAGGCAAACAGAGAGTTTGCCTGAGGACGGGACCGCATGGTCTCAAACGTCGCTAAGGAGATGTGTGTTATCTCAGTCAATAAACAGCATTGACTTTAATATCATGGAGTGTGAGTGACTACTTTAATCTACCTTTATATTTAAGACGGTTAGATTTTATGAGCGTCAGGTACATTTCTATACACTGAAATTTTTGTGGTTTTCCAAAGACACATTTCATTAGTAATACAAAAAGAAAATCCACAGTGCCTCTAATCAAGAGTATAAAAGTGCCACTTGACACGAGTTCATGCTCTTTTTTTGCAATCATTGGTGTAATTTCACAATGGAAATCCAGGTAGATTTAAAAAGACAAATGAATGCTGTATTTTTTTTATGTGAACAGCAGTGTAAACACACAAATGTGACTTATACACTGTACAGTCGAGCTTAGACAGAGAGAATCAACACAGGGAATCAATCAGTTGTACTGACAAGGACATGCTGGAAGGAGAAGGCAGAGTGACAGAAAAAATGAACCCGGTTTCTCTTTTCATTGTCCAATTCCAGGCTGGGAAGGGACAGGACCTATAAGTGTTACTTAAAGGACAACTCCGGGTAAAGGTTTTATTAACCCTTGCAGTGGGGCTACCCCCACACTGCAAGTGTAAGTGCTAATTTTTGCCTAGGGCAAAAAATAATAAAGTTATAGTCACCCGATCTTCCGAGCCGGCTGCTCCCTCCTGCCTGTCTCCTCTGCGGCAGCGATGGCTTGTCCCTCGACGTCCTCACGTTGTATACAGTTTATATAGAATGTGATGACTCAGGGACCCTTAGAATGCTGCAGAGGAGGGGGAGAAAGGCTCCAGGGACCGGTCTATGAGCAAGCCGGCTCTTACTACACTTTGGATAGCTAAAAACCTTCTATACCAATATGCAAAACATAAGATTATGGGGCAAAATGGCAGGACTCTGGCCTTCCTGGACACCCCAACATCCTCCATCGCTAAGACTGAGAATTCCAGAGGTACCATCGTAACAGACCTCTTGCAAATTAACAAATCAAAGACGCATTTTCCTAACTGTACTCCCAGCGGTATGAGAACACAGTGATCCTCTAAGTGTGATCTGGAGAGATTCCTGGAGCCCTTACCCTTTCAGCAGTTCCTCCTGTAACCCTACAGGATAGCATTTCTAAATACTATATCAGGAGAATAATCCTACCCACTTTTTCTTGCCTAGGCAAGAACATAGGGTAGGTTGCCAATGGACTCCTAAGAAATCAGCGTTATATCTCTTAGGAGTCTTCGGATATTTTTTATTTATTTATTTTTTAATTGCGAGGATTTTCCGCCCATCTGACCGTGCCAACATCATCAACAAAGACACAGATTCTGACACTTCATCTGGAGACGCTTATGTTGTCAATACTATGACAAAATGGTTGCTGAGCTGAGTGCGCCGGTGTGGGATCTCGCTGCGCCTCACAGCCAGGGGGACATTGGGAGTTCCAGCAAGTGAATGGAATACAACAAATGGCTGCTGGCAGAAGTGCGGTGAGTGTTAAAAACATGATAAACTTATACATCATTTTTACTAAATGCCAGTGAAACTACACCGCATGGGCCTTCTTTCCAATTCAGCTTGTCTATGGTGCTGCGAGTCTCCAGATTATATTTTCCATCATTTTTGGACATGCTCGCATATTATTGCATATTGGACTCAACTGCAAGGTCTTCTAGTCTTCACGTTTGGGTTATTAGGTTCCAATACACTTGAGATATGTCAGAGGGGATTAATTTTATATGTGCCTATTATATATATCTTCTACCTTCAACAAAACCATGATCCATTTGACATGTTCTATGCCAGGAAGGTCATTATTCTACAATGGAAGTCCCACTCCAGCCCACAACAGACAAATGATTGGAATTATAAACGACTTGCTACCTAAATTTAAAATTATATATAACATGTAGAACCAGTCCTCAAAAACTTTGCATACCCTGGAGACCATGGATAGATATGATACGATACAAGACCCCACCGGGCATCCTATCCCCACTGGATCTACTTCCACTTAATTTGGTTGTTTATGAGGCTCATTATATTGCTGTGTCCCTTCTTACAGTTCAGTAACTATTATTAGCTTTTCCCCTTTTGCAATACCCCACTCCCTATATTGGTGGCTGGTGGTGGAGAGCAACGAGTGAGTGAGCGAGCGAATGTTCTTTTGGACAGCTGTTGGAAGTTCAGTTTGTCTTAGTTGACTATGTTTTTAATGATTTTTAGGTTGTCTTTATGTATAATCTACAAATGCAAAAATTTACATGTTAAAATAAAAAAGTTTGGAAGGTAACATTCCCCTTTAATATTCTCACTGGTACCAGAAACCACTGTAAATTACTTAATAGTAATGTTCTGACTTCCATATAACATCTCTCTATACAGTATTAGCACACAATCATTCTGAACAAACAAGAAGAGCAGCTTGATAACTACAACCACATTTAGGATCCCCTATACTACAGCAGGGAGTGGAGGCCAAGGTATGCATATAATTAAACCCTGGAACTACCATTAAAGGTTCATAGCTCCATAACCTTCAGCAGTGGAAAAGACTCCCCTACAATCATGTGAACTAGATTACTCACTACTAGCAAACTGAATAAGCACTCCATAGTTAGCCCTACAAACAGGTCTCTCCCTAAATGTTAGATCACTTAAAAGTCTCCATGCAAGGACCATGCTGTTTCACCGTCTCCATCAACATGTCCCATTTTAGAAACAGGTCTTGCTTATTATCTGGAAGTCCCAGGCAGACACCTACAGCATATTTTGTGGTGTGCTACTAGAAAGGAGTGGAGTCCAGTCCACCATTGCCTGGTAGGCAGACATACAGAAATTCATCTGTAACAATGTTCCAGCTTGCAGCACGACAGCAACAACACTACATGACCTGTTCCGTGTAAGTAAGTGTAGTAGGGCAGGGTAGCTCTATATTTTCAGTCAGAACTAGGGCTACAACAACTAATCGACTAAGTTGATTATAAATCGATGATTGAAAAAGTTGTCCACATTTTCAATCATCGATTAATCGGCTTTCGATTAGTTGGCCCTGTTCACGGCTCCACACACGCAGCGCGCCGCACCTCCTCCCTGCCTCATGCTTGCCACTGCCAGACCCGCTCGCATCCACACGCTGCACCTCTCCGCGGGGAGAAGAAGAAGTAAGGAGGAGCAGGCGTGGGGGGATGACAGCCGCCGACAGACAGGCCCGGTCTCAGAAGCAAGTTGCTGGAAGACTGCTCAGATACGCCTGACTTTCCCAAACATGGTGCTCTATAATGTATTGCTGGGATAGTGGGATTTGTAGTCCTCTATAGCTGATGGTATATTGTGTTATATATTACACAGAAAAATACAAATCCCAGCAATACATTGTACACTGTATGTATAATATTGCTGGGATTTGTTGTATTCCTCTATAGCTGGTGGTATTCTGCATTGCGCTGTATAATGTACTATTGCTGGGATTTGTACTCTTCTATAGATGGTGCCATTATGCATTGAATGCTGTATAATTTTACACTTTCCATTTCACTATATTGCACACCACCACACTTTTTTTTCTACTTCCACCGCTCCAAGCTTGCTCCCATAATGGACTACAATCTCAATACAAACTAGTAGTCCCATCACTGGAGCCATTTTTTTTATCCCGACTAAACGATTAATCAAACCGAATAATCGGCTAACTAATCGATTTTGAAAATAATCGTTCGCTGCATCTCTAGTCAGAACAGGTATAAGGGAATGGATCTTTGGTTAAGGTTGTCATTAAGGAAAACTGGAAGATATGCATTTTTATTACATTCTTTTATCACTGGTGCCCATCCCCAACAAATTGTATCATATGCTTCAGCACTCCCTTACTGCCCACCCTCTGCACTGATCTTTTGAACATATAGCCCCTTATTATACTTCCCAGCACTCCTACCTGCACATACTAGGCACTGTCATACGCTCTGCACTGCTCTCCTGCACATACAGCCCATTGTCATATACACTGCCTGGCCAAAAAAAAAATACAACACATTTTGTTGGACCACCTTTAGCTTTAATTTTGGCAGGAGTTTACCATGGCATTGCTTTGATAAACTTATGCAATGCCACAAGATTTATTTCCATCCAGAGTTGCATACATTGTTCACCAAGATCTTGTAGAGATGATGGGAGAGTTGGGCGACTGTAAAATCTTCTACAGCACATCCCAAAGATACTCAATGGGGTTAAGATGTGGACTCTGTGGTGGCCAATCCATGCGTGAAAATGATGTCTCATGCTCCCTGATCCACGCTTTGACAATTTGAGCCCAGTGAATCCTGGCATTGTCATCTAGGAATATGCCCAATGTGCCATCAGAGAAGAAAGAATCCATTCATATTAGAACCTGGTCATTCCGTATATTCAGGTAGGCAGCTGTCCTCATTTTTTGGGCACATTATATTATGTTGCTGAACCTAGACCTGACCAACTGAAGCAACCCCAAATCATAACACTACCCGAAATCCAGCTGGTGACCTTTTTTTGGACAGGCAGTGTATTTCGGC